CTAGCCACTTTTCTGGTTGTAAAAGGACAACCGAATGATTCTATCTGATGGATGATGTTAGTTTCGATATTCAGTGATGGAATTTATCGATGGAGGCGTATACGATAGTCAGATCCGTCTAGCGGAATTCATTTGCAGGGTAAAATTTCTTTTTACACATATTAACGTGTCTGAAATAGGTTAAAATACGTAAATATACTGCGATTCTTCCCCCCCCACAAGAAAAAAGCTTAAATCAAAGGCAATCCGAAATTCAGTTCGGTGTTTTTGGTATCCACGAAGATTTGCAACTTTTCCAAGAAGTCATAAGAATTTTAAAATATATGTAAAACATAATCAGATATAAAATATTAAGTAATATTATAAGTGGCTCTGGATTATGATCATTAAGAAAATGGAAAATATTAAATAGGGCTCACTTATATTTCCTCGGGGTTTTTCCTTCCTGGATTAAAATTACGTAATTTATAAGCCTATTAGTTCTTGGACTGGTGCATAGACACAGAAGTACTTTACACTATGATGGAACATAACATTCGCCAACTCTTTAAAATCGTAATTGTGTTTTAGATATTTTGTATCAAGTCTCTAAAAATGAATAACAGTTTTCGGTCTCCACTATGTTTCTCTTATGTTACGCTCGTTGAATTTTAACGGGCATTTTCCGCTAGTAATATGCTTCCTTGTAAATTACATATCTTGCAATGTATACTGCGTTATGAGACAAGTAGGTTTCAAGAGTTATTTTCGACTCGAATTGCAGACTCAGTTTAGTTATATGAATAGGGTAAAGTGGATGCAGTCCAAATCGTTACTCAAGATTAGACGAAGAAAGATGGTCACATGACTATTGACACATCTAGGAAAGTTACTGCAATGGACGCAAGGGAGTCATCACTCACTTGTGTATAATAGCAAGGAACACGGCTGAGCAAGTTCGTTACAACTGTCTTAAGTAACATTGGTGTAAGAACTTCGTGAACTGCTGTTTTTTTTAAAAAATTCTGAGCCACAAAGAATGTGAACCTGGCGCAGTTTAGGAAAACAAAAGTGTTAACCTTAAGAAACTGAGAAATTCCAAGAACAAAAACGTGAAGATATTATGAAACACTGGGAACATAAGCTTAAAGAATCTGTGAAAAGCGAATAACTTCAACCATATCATCCCCAATGGAAACTGCATGTACCACCAACTTATGTAAAAAGCTCTGTTATTCCAGAGTATTTTAATGTATTTATGATTTTCTCTGTAAACAGCTAATATTTCCTTAAACGGCGTTGACAGATTGATCTTTGAAATAGTGATGTTTTGTTTTTTCTAAGCGGTACGAACCGGATTTTTATATACTACTCATATTACCGTGAACCGCCCAACTTTACCCACTTCCGAAAGTGTTACCTTTCCCTCAACCTAACTTTACCTGAAGGACGAACGGGTTCAGCATGGGATAGTATGTCTCACTACTTTTCTCTCATTTTATCCTCCTTCTGTGTTTTGTCCTCAGAACGTTAAATTGTTTGCTTATTCTAGCCTTCTTAGGACGAAGAATTTCCCTATGAACTATGTTTCCACACTTTTTTAATTTAATATTCCCTCGAAGTAAAACTGATAAATTGTAAATGAAGAAATCTGAATTTCGTGATTCAAGGATACTGAGGAATATTAATTGAGGTCCGCAAAATACGAAGGAAGGCGCTGGAGAACCTTCCCCATCGCGTGTATAGGTCTCTTGTTGTGAGGCAGAGGACGGCGTCAGAAGTCCTTGTAACATCTGCAGTGACTCGTTGTCCCGCCATTTTGGCTCATTCTACCGTAGAAAGAAAATAACATTCAAGCGTGCTTGAAGAGAGGCAGAGTGTGATTTTGGACACTGGACTCCGCTTGGCGAACTATAACAGTCCCTCTTTGGCATTTCTCGCTGGATATCTGTAGTGGATGAACCGGCTATAAGGGTCTGAAACACCGGACATGCTGACGGGGAGAAGGGATAATCTGGGATGTAGCATAGTTATAAAACACATTCTCACCCGCTTATTGTTACTGAGGATGGAGACTCATCTTGTCACGACAACCGCTACACTGAAAGTTTGCGGGGTAATTTAGGTTTCGCTCCACCACAGCCACTACCTCTCTCCTCCCCCCCTGCTAGGACAAAGCTGCCATACGGAGTGCTCACAGCGCTTTCAATTAACCGTTGCAATAGTAATGTGTGCTGTCCTTAATAAGTCCGGTCCGAGGTTGTTGCGTTGTTAGTCTCCCTCCAACTTCACTAATAACGAGGGACATTTGCATACGTAGAGAGTCTGTGGTAAAAAAAGAGACAAATTCAGATATTACATGTGGTAAGTTATGTTTAGTTTGGGTTCCTAGGATCAATAAGGATTTTGTTAGAAGAGATTCCTTAAAACGCATAGAAGCCTACTATGAATTTCAGTTCTGAGCTGTTTATACTTGCTCTAAATTACGTTAGTAATATTCGTAATTAACGGAACTTTGTTACTGGTAGTGACGAGCCTGAAACCTAGTAGAGATCAATGCCAACACTGTTAGCAAATGTTGTTTCTGAACAGTGTCTGTGAACGATGTTGACAGACATTCGGTGTCCATACCAAAACCTTATTTCAAGAAACATTTAGCGTGTCAAGCAGTTAATTAGTTAGGTGGTTAATGTGATTTTTATAAACTTTTGACGTGACATTAGTAATATATCAGCGTATATAGCGTTGAAAGTATGATATTAAAATGAGATATATTTTAGGGACTACAACAGCACACTTAAGCTTTTCACGAAGACAAACTTGTTGCTTAGCAATGTATCCGGTAAGCAAAACTTTATGAGAATAGATTCATCCGTGCAAAGTAATATTTAACTTGTCATTCACAGACAGTTGGAGTTTACAACATTATTTATTGTAGTATTTTAAAATTAACCTATGAAAATATACCAGAAAAAAAATCAGAAAATTATTGCTTTTATACGGTTTGAAAATATTGTGTTCTGAGTATTCGGCCATTTAGCAAAGATTAATCCTTTTAATAAATTTAGATAATTACTTTGTGTTAAATATTTTATGGTAATTGAATTCAGTCACAAAGCACGCATAATTTATGTTTAGTTTCTAATATTTAGGAGGACACAGTGCTACATTCTACAGGCTGTTTTTTTTTCCAGAATAAACAACAATTTCGAATCAACATTTATGTGACTGCAAAATGCAACAATTTCGAATCAACATTTATGTGATTGTAAAATATACTGTTAGAATTAATTTTCGTGCCTTAAAGATATATGAGAGCAACGGCAGTGTTATTAATAAAATTATTGGTTACGTTGTTGAAAGCACTTGAAATATACGAACATTTGTTTTAAACCGTTGTATGTATAGGCTATTACGAGGAAAATTTGTTTTGCTGTTTGTCTCTGCCCCTGACGTTTTCGAATTATGCCAGAATGTAAATATCTTCTGCGTGAGCGCTCGACAGTCCTGATTTACGGTTATGCAGTGCAGCCTATCCATTTACTATTGCAGTGTAATTCCTGACTCTATTAGCAACATTATATCCTAATTGGAGAATTTAGGTAATTGTATTCAGTAAAACGCAGAGATCTTTCAAGCTGTATGCCTACCACGAGTTTCAGCAATTGATAGGTTGTGATGAAATAAAATTAAAATCTGAGACAACCCTGTGAAAATATTTAGTTGTGGAATTACGAAAGCGTCCGTGCTTTAAATTTAACAAAAACAATTTACGTAACAGAATAAATACATTTTTCAGCCCATCTGAAATATTTCCGAAAAATATTACATTAATTCTTAGCTTTCTTAGATACACAGGAAAAACTATTTTCATAAATCTATTTAACTACACTTTTATTTAATTAAACTTTATATAATTATCAAAGATGGCGTTATGCGCAGTTTAATTTAAAATTTGTTCCCCCCATCTGGCTACAGTATTTCTCCCCATCACAAATTTTCGGTCCTAGAATGTTGTTCACAGTTTCCGAATAGTGTATGTACGTTTGACTCACAAGTCGTTTGCCTTTGTTCCAGGAGACTGTTGTCCTCTTCGTACGAGCACCATTAACGATATGTACGAGGATCCTCAACACCACAGTAACCCGATGGCCTCTGTGGCGTGATCCCAAACGTTTCCACAAGACAGTGGAGACGCACAGTAGACATGTTACTTCATCTAGAAAAGCTTCATCAAAGCTCTGCATCCCGGCACTTCAGAATATTCGACACAACACCACCACAGCACCATAACCAGCTGACAGGACTTGTTTACGAGAATTCCTTCAACTTCTTCCACTCCGATCTGCTTCGGTGTAAAATCAACTTTACATGATGGTTCTTGGCCATACGTTCTCCGTTTAGAAACCCCATTTCTGTGCTCCCATGAGGGCTCTTTCAGACATCAAAGACCCTAAGTACGGTTAATTCAGTACAGCTGTAGGATGAAAAGACATTTTGATATGCACTACGTGTGGTTCACCGAAGCTGGCTGCCTAAATCCGAGGGCTTTTAATAGAACATTCTACTGACTAGAACTTGTTAAACTTTAATACTGTATAACGAACTAATATAATTTTACTGAGACGAGTGTCACATAGAAAAGCGAGGTAACTTGTTAGTTTGTGCGGTGTTAGGGAACTTGATGTTGACAAGTGGATCTTGAAAATTGTGCGTGTGTGCTTTGATGTCTGTAGGTAAAGTTTTCGACGTGGAAACTGAATACGGTAGTACCACTATTAAAACAACGACCTGTTCTTTTAAATTTTATCGAGTTAAGTGTAACGTAACAGTACAGAAGTAGTTTCGTAACTTCTTCCGTGTGGATTTCATTTCCGCTGCTACAAGCCTGCGTGCGGAACATTATTGGCGCGTGAATCGGATAGAATTCACATTTATTTATACGTTGTTTTTATACGTTAAGTGTGTGCGTACGTATGAGACGTGCGTGAGTTGCCATGAAGCCTGGTGCGTGATAATGACGGTGGTTGCCATGCCTACCAACATAGCAACAACAACGACTGCGACCACAACTTCTACCACCACAACAACATGGACTCTGTTCATGGTCTCCTTGTACTACTTTGTCACCATCCTGCTTATTCGTGACCTGAGATGTCACGCCCTTGAACTGGGTAAGTCTGAGGTGTAATCTTGATTAGTGTTAGACTGATTCTGTAGTTTGCCATCAAAACTGTTCGTGAGATTTAAGGTTTAAACAGAGGTGAAGGTTTAGATATCTGTCGTCTTGGCAGTAACGTCGTTGTATTTCTAGGCATATATAAAGTTTTTGGAAGAATACACTGCTTCCACCTTCATCCCTGAAGATGGACGCAGTATGTTCCTCTGAAACGTTTTATTTACCCAGAAGACGGAAATCTTCATCAAAATATCTGTTTGTTTTGTAAGGCAGAATGTGAAGAAACTTTATTTTATGGCCGAAAAATTTGCTTTCTCTAATTCTACATTAAATAGTTTAAATCATTACATGTTAAATGGCATGTCTGATGTACTTGTCACAAATATTTTACGCTAATTGGCCAAATAGTTGTTAGTGTCACGTACCTTTAACGAAAGAACCTTACCGGAAGATACTAGTTGGAGTTATGCTTATTTTTATGTGATTTAACATCGTTAATGCAGTCAGTATAAATTACACTACCAAATTATCTTTTATAATATATCTTAGTAGAGAAAGTGATGTATCTTTTTACAGCAAAGGTGACACCTTTTATAGAGTCGTATTAAGAATGAACTTACGGCCGGAAATGTAGAGGCTTCTGACGATGTCCTCTGCTACCTAATTAATATTTCTCAATGGGATGCTTAAGGCACATCTTTACATTAGGAAATATTTATTTTAAGTCTGAAGGCCTCTGACGATGCTGCGTTATAATATATGAATTTGTTCTTTTAGACTTTGGCCGTTGTCTGAACTGTAAAATAATAAATCTACAACGTTTTGGACGCTAAATTCTGCTTCCGTCTTCAGGTAAAAAATGAGAAAAAAAACAGCCTATCTGTTTGCCGCCCCCCCCCCCAATTTTTCTAGCCTGAGATCTGGTGTAATTTATTCTATTTTAAGCAACGAACTTATAGTTATAATTTCTTACATCTTCTAGGAGCAGTGCTGCAAAAACCAGCTTTGAGGATTGTATGATTATTGAATTTTCTACCCTGTACTTAATAAATATGGCTCTTTTTTCTACCTTTTATACGTCAATATAATAATAACATTCACTGTTGGCCTCCTCTACTTGAGATAGGATACGTCCACGTCAGTGTCAAACTGTAACGTGTGTTCCCTTTTGTGCCCTGACTGTCATATCTAGTTCTCATACATTTTTACCGTCGTTTTATATACTTCTTGTGACTTGTGCGTCTCGTTTTTTTAGGTGTTCTTCACGCTCTAGCGCGAGCGAAGAACACCTCATGTTTCCGTCCATTTGTGACAAAAATACTTTAACCAAACTCAGAGATGGTATGGGTGTCTCGGAAGCCTCTAGAAATGATATTCGTTGTACGCGTCGGTAAGGACGACTGCATCTTTGTCTCTTATTTCCTGTTTCCCTCAGCGTCCCACAACTCAATTATGCAGAGCTACTCTGAAGGGGCGAAGATACCTCTCTGCTTCGCTTGCAACCCTCCTGGAGTGACCAAGTAGTGGGTTCTGCTCTGTACGGGTCCGGTCTGTGTTATTAACCTCAATGCAATTTCGTTCCTCCAGTGGGCATGCACTAGATAGCTGAAGGCGCTTCAACGCTACGGCGTGGTTTGACTTCGTGTACCTGCAAGACTGCTTCGACTGCCCTGACTACTTGACAGTAGAAGGCTTTTTATATATTTTATATATATTATAAATATATTTATACATTTCTGTGTTGTACAGAGAAATATGTAATTATTTTCTCAGAAATTCTTCCAGTTTCGATATCGAAAACTCAATGATGACCATCTATTAGGTTTTAAATTATTTAAATAGGCGATATGCATGTGAATGACGAGAAAATAATATAAAATGATAGTCGGAAAACCTGGAAGGAGATAACATTTGAAAGACTTAGACGCAGATGGGATGATAATGTCAAATTATGTATTTAAATAAATGTGGTGTGGGAATGTGGACTGGATACATCAGACTCTTCATACGGACCAGGGGTGGTCTTCTATAGAAACGGTAATAAGCCTTCTTGTTTCACAAAAGAAGGAAATATCTTGACTAGGTGAATGACTGTTGGCTTCTCAAGAAAGGGTTAGTTCAATGGAGTTGGTTGGTCATGCAGGAACTGAGGAAGGCCTGGAGCTTTGGCTTACAAACGGTAGACTGACTTTGCATCCCATCTTCTCCGATAGTGTTCACGTGTTTCCTCCTCTTGAGACTACCACAGAATCTACTGTCTTGTGTCTCCCAAGTGGTCACGCATGGGGAGGGGATTTCAGCTCACAAGGATAATCCAATTTGTTTTGCAAGCACCAAGGAGAATCTTTCTCATCGGACCAACCCTGGAGGTACGTTGTAGGCCTACCGAGTAATCTAACAGAAAATAAAATCTGTGGATTGGATACGAGAGGAAAATTTCACAGTAAGCGATTAACAACACATCTCCAGTCCTGTTGCAGGATTTGAGCTGGTAGTAGTTCCACCTGACACAGAGAGTTATGGAAGTTGCTTGCGGACTTCTGGGTCAGAGACACTTTGCTACTGCAGGGAAATCGCTGGAGACAATCTTGAACGTCTAAAGTCAAAGTAGGAAACAAAATACAACACGAAGGTGAATTCTGATGGTATTGAATTTGTCAGTGTTCGTTGCTTCGTGGTTTGAGGCTGGTTCAACCAGGAGACAAGCAGATAGACATTCTGTTCTTCTACCCTATTTTTACCAGAAGACGGAAGCGAGACAAGCAGATAGACATTCTGTTCTTTTACCATATTTTTACTAGAAGACGGAAAGAAAGGAACACTTCTCAACGTTGAGGTCTCGATAATATTCTACTGGTTAGAAAACATGTATGGTTTTATTTTGAAACCATTGAACACTACTGAATCCGAAATACGTGCTTGTCTCGATTTCTGCAATATTACATCCTTTTGCAGTCATTTTGCACGTATAGCACGTAACACTAATCGCGTGACAAAATTCTCAGATTTTAATAAAAAGTCGAAAAAATTATGTCTTTTGATCCAAAGAAAATACGGAAGTCCATCCGGTCCTGTAATAAATGTAATTTATGACGTTTTGATGATAATCATTTCTCCATTTGTAGGATCTTCATTTCGTAACGCTATTTGAGCAATCTAATCGATACTTCATGTCAGCAGCGAGGTCGGACACGTTTGCTACATTTGACGAGTACTTCTTCCGCTATTTAGGTACACCGAGTTCAATAAACCCTATATATTTTAATAGAGGGCGAACCGGATGTAGTACGAGCTTCTGCCGCTAGGGGGTGCGGCCTACATTCATAGTGAATCAGTGTGCCAGCCGGCATCATCGAATTAGCATTTGTTTCTTAGTTACGGGCGTTTTGGTAAATTGAAAATTCAGCTAAAGGGAAGGAGATTTGAGACGATAGAAGAGATTGAGGCAGAATCGCAGATGGTGCTTGACAGGCTGACAAAGAAAGATTTCCAGGGATGCTTCCAGGCTTGGCAGCGGCGCTGGGATCGTTGTGTTCACTCCCAGGGGAACTACTTCGAGGGTGATGGATGAATTTAATACCTGAGATAAGTGTACGGGTTTTTATAGGCGCAGTCTTGAAACTTTCCGATCGCACCTCGTATCGGAAACGTTTCCGAAATAAGAAATTTCCGTGCCCCTCTTGAATTAAGTGGTCGGCTGAGATAGTTTTGCTTTTTCAGGAGATGGCTGTCTTCTGGGTTGTAGCGCTGTGTAGCTTGGTAGACGTCTTAGATGTGATTGCTGTCTCAGTCATCAGGGCGAATCACCCTGATGATGGTAAACTTCTACCAGACTACACTGCGCTACAAACCAGACAACAGCCATCTTCGTTATCATCGCCGTGAGAACCTCAAATCCTACCATATTAGATACTTCGCGGGGTTTGGGAACCAGCATATAAATTGTATTGAAAAATTGTGTGATTAAAAACCAGTTCTATATAAAACCTAAGGGATGCCTTAAGAAGAGTCACGTAGCTTATGATTGCTATGGTAAATATTATAGCAAGTTTCACAATTCGAATGTCAGTCCGAACAATCTTTCTACCGTTGAAAGAACACTAGACTGAAAGGTCATTCTTAATGACCCAGGCAACTCTTGCATCGGCGATATGTTGAAAGGTCGTATGCTACGAGAATACAAACACGTGGATTTGTTCTCACGTGAACAAACGGAATTTCAGATGAAGTTGTCGTCATACGAAGGTTTTGTTCGCGGATACTTTTCGTCTGGTGTGAAAACTGAATCGTGTACGAAACCAGGGAAGGCAGCGAGGGGAAAAAAAAAAAAAAATATTTTTCTGAATTTTCGCACGATTTAAACTGATGTATTTTCTGTTCATTCTTGAGGAGAAATGAAACTGGTTTCAGCTTCTGTGTTTGCAACTCGTACATCAGAAATTACAGACTGGGCTCCAAAATTGGTAGTGGTTTGGAATGTTATACAGTCATTTATTAGCGTGATTAAAAATAACATAATGTTTGACCAGCCCATCCTGGGGTCTCGGGTTCGATTCCCGGTGGTGCCCGAATTTATAACTTGTGTTGGGCAAGGCCTTGGTCTAGGCAACACGGAGTTTTCCTCCGGGGGCTTCCCCGGTTTCTCTGTGGCATCCCAACAATTACTCCATTTACACACAGAAGAAGGCAATGGCAAAGCACTTCTGGATCATCTGCCAAGAACGTATATGAACAGGTCCCAGTCCGAGAAAAGGATGGAAGGATCCTGTTCATATGGACCTGTCGTCAGACAGAACACTATTAATAATAATAATCACACACGACGTTAGTCTTAAGTAAAATCTGGAAAGCTAAGATGGGTTAGGTATGTGACTAGGATTGCGGAGACCAGGACAACATTCAGAATTTTGCTGGGGAGACCCTCTTGTAAAATGCCCAAATAGAAGATCAAAAATGAAATGGGATTAAAACGTTAAGATATGTGTTAAGATTATA